AAAGGAGAAAAAATGTTAAGAGAATGAAAGTTACAAAATGAAAAGTGACATATTGGTAAATAAGTTGTATTTGAAATTCATTAAAAAACCTGCCTCAGTGCAAAAAGCACAGTAAAAATGACATTGCACCTGTATGTTTATTTCAGCAGTATTCACAATCTTGAAACAACACGAGTGCATGAGAACAGACAATTGGTTAAAGAAACTTTGGTACACCTATAAAATGGAATACTATGCAACTGTTAGGACAGATGAAATTATGAAATTTGCTTACAAGTGGATTGTCATGGAGAGTATCATGCTAAGTGAAGAGTTAGAAAGAGAGGGACAGATAGAGAATTACTGTACTCAATTGTGGAATATAAAATAAGATAATATGAGATTGACACCCAGGAACATTAGAGACAGGGCCAGGAATATTACTCCATGATTGGTAGCTTACCTCATGAGCTGGGGGAGAAAGCAGCTGGGATAGAGAAGGGATCACTTAGTCAGTGATCATTGGAGGGATTGTTCGGGATGGGAGATGTGTGCTGAAAGTGGATAAAGGACCAAACGTGATAGCCTCTTAGTATTACAAACCATAACGCCTAAAAGTAGAGAGAAAGTGTGGGGAAAATTGTCTGCCATAGAGGCAGGATGAGGGGTGGGATGGGGGTATACTTTGGACATTGGTGGTGGAAAATGTGCACTGGTGGAAGCATGGATGTTTGGCATTGTATAACTGAAACTCAAACATGAAAACTTTGTGACTGTATCACATGGTGATTCAATAATTAAAATCCCTCAAAAATAAGAAAAAGTGACTTCTGATCACAGAGCTCTAGTAAGCCCTGAGCAATGGCAGTTCCTCCCCCCAACCCCTATAGAAAATAATTAAGTACCTAGGAATACACTTGACAACGAATGTGAACTACTTTATGTTGAAATTTGTTCAAAAATACAAATGTAGCTAAATGGTGGAGTGCTTGCCTTGCTTATGTATGACCCTGGATTAGATCCCCAGGAATTTGGAAAATAAGTACATTTCTTTGATTAAATAAAGAAGATTGTTACTGTTAAAGGAAATGGAGGGGAATACAAAGAGATGAAAAGATATTCCATGCTCATGGACTGAATGAATTTACATTACTAAAATGACTGTCCTAGAGAAAGCTATCAATATCACATACTGGATTCAATCTCAGTCAAAATTCTAATGCTGTTCTTTAAGAAAGAAATGAAACAAAGGTTGCTTAAAATTCACAGAATCACAAAACACAGCAAATAGTCAAAGCTGTCTTGATTAAAAACAAAGAATAAGAGGCATAATGTTCTATAATTTTAACTACAGTGCAAAGCTATAGTAATCAAAACCATAGTTTTGGAAATAGATAACAAAAACAATTGAATAGAATTAAAAGCATAAAATTAAATCCTGATGTGTGGACAATTACTTTATGATAGAAGAACCAAGAAGATGAAACGGAGAAAGGAACTTTTGATAAATAATTTTCGGAAAACTGGATAGCCACATGTGAAAGAATGACACTGTTTAGCTATCTCGCATCATGTGCAAAAGTTAACTTGAAAAATGGATTAAAGACATAGGTTTTAGACAGCTAAATCATAACATGTATTGACGAAAATGTAGGCAAAATGTACATCCCCTTCTCCCAAAATGGCTGTCCAAGATAACTGGTTTTCATTACATGTTTGGGAATTTAACTCTATTACATAAAACTAAAATGCTTTGTATAGTCAAAGACTTAGCACAAAAGACATCCTACCAAATGGGAGAAAATATTTGCACACTATACATCTGGCAGATGGCTGATATCCAAGATATATAAAGCACTGACAAAACAACAACAAACAAACAAACAGCCACATCAAAAAAGGGGGAGAAAAGCTGAACCAAGAAGACATACAGATGGCCACCAGGCACATGAGAAAATACTTAACCATCCTGACAATTAGAGAAATAAAAATAAAAATGACAGTGAAGTATCACTTCATACCACTGAGAATGGCCTATATAAAAATTGTTAGAAACATTAAGTACTGGCAAAAGGATGAAGAAAAGGTACTCTAGTCGAGGGGTACAAAGAAAATGCTACCCTCTACACTATTAGTAGCAATGTAAAGAGCTGTAGCCTCCTTGTATAAAGTGTGAGCTTTCCTTAAAATACTAAAAATATATCTACTTATGATCTAGCATTCCCTTCTGAAGATTGTGTCTAGTAGATACACAAATACTGATTACAGTTTTAAAGGTTAGAGCTTCCTAGGCTTCTGCCCTTTCTGGGGAACCAAGGCCTATCACATGCTCATATTGTGTGATTTTCTTCACATGTCAACAAAAATAATAGATCACAAAATACTAGTAAATCTCAAGTGTCTATTAATTGTGAGTTGCAAAGTAAATTATGATGCATCAGCAAGTGAAATATTATCAAGTTAAAAAGAACAGGAAGAATATATATGAAAATTATTAAAAAATAATGGCAAGTAAGAAAAAGTAGTAAAGAACATTATATATAACATGATGGCCTCTCGGTATTTGTATTGCAAATCATAATGCCCAAAAGTAGAGAGAGAGTAAGAGAGAAATTACCTGCCACACAGGCGAGGGAAGGGGTGGAATGGAGGGGGGAGGTATTTTGGGGACATTGGAGGTGAAAAATGTGCACTGGTGCAGTGATGGGTGTTTGATCACTGTATGACTGAAACTCAAACATGAAAGCTTTGTAACTATCTCATGGTGATTTAATAAAAAATAATAAAGGAGATAAGATAACATGGTTATATTTGCTTGTATTTGACATAATTGAATTCTGGAAGGAAAAAATAGAAGCTAACGGATCAACATAGAATGATCTCAGTTCAAAAAATTCTAACTCCTATGTATTTGAAGAGACAGGTTTCTATTAAGTCATGATGATAGATTCCCTCCATACTGGGCAAATGACAGGGATAAGATGAAACTCCTTTCTGAATATCTTATAGTATGTTTGCTTTTACATGCATATAGACAGATACTGAAATAAAATTTCAGTATCTGAAATAAAGTATCTGAAGCTTAAAAAAGAAAAAGAACAAAAATAAGCAAATGGATTAGGAGAACACAGTATTGTTCACTACAGGGGAAATCTGGGGCTACAGATGGGTAAGTTGGGTTAAGGGTGTATCAGTTATATAGTGGTGAATGATGCTAGACCTTTGATGAGTATCATGGTGGTAGTGTATACTAGAATTATAATGCTTGGAACTTACGTAATTTTGTAAACTAATTACATAGTAAAGTAAAATATTGATAGTACTTGTTAATTCAGTTTTTAAAATACCTTCCATTATCATTTTTTTAATTTTATTTTTGGGCCAAACCTGGCAGCACTCAGGGGGTAATTCTGACTCTCCATTCTAGAATTAATCCTGGTGGTGCTTGGGGGACCATCCGGGATGAGGGGGATCAAACCTGGGATGACCAGGTACTAGGCAAACTCCCTATCCAATGTGCTGTCTCTCCAGCCCCTTCCAGTATAATTTAAATCTAGTTTTGACTAGATACAGTACAAATGTATACTTTGTAGTTTTAAGCAATTGTTCTACATACAGCATAGTGCTCTTTAAAACACTAAGTGGACTTTTTTGTCTCTCAACAGTTTTTACTTGGCTACTTTGAGCTCCCTATTTCACGTTCTAGCAACTTTCTGTTTCTTGTAGTTTTTCTTGTATACAGCATTGTTTCTTAATTTGTGTATGCTATATACTGTATCTTCTTTGTGTTAATATTCTAGGGATGTTTGTCAACTTCTCTGAGAAACTATGCTGTAATGATTAGTTCTCTATTGTATCTAGACAAACTGTCAAAAGTCCGCTTTCATTTTTTCCTTTGTAGGGTAGAGACTATTCCTCAAATAGCTTATAGTCTTAGATGAAGATTGAATACACAAATGTAACTACAATAGGACAGTGTAATAAGTGAACTGTTGGTCAAGGAATTCTTGAAGATGCATCAGAGTCCAAAAGGAGACACTTTAATATATCCTGTTTAGAAGCAGCTAACTGGGAAGAAAGGAAAAATTGGCAATTTATGAGAGGCCATCATTCTAGTTTTAAGGAATTTAATTATTATCTTTTGGGTACAGTAGGACTACTTAATGTTATGAATCACTTTGATATGTTATAGGATGATTAATTTTATACTTTATGCAAGATGGTCTATAGGGTACCAGTTGAAATAGCTTTGCACTATAAACTATAGTGTTGAACATGGGATCAGAAAAGGAATAGTCATTTTCAAACTCTGTTTTTGTCTATATATTTCAACATAGAATGATATCATGATCCAAAAAATTCTAACACCTATATATTTTAAGAGACATGTTTCTGATAACAAATCATGATGATAGATTCCCTCCACATGTTATTGCACACTGTTCTGACTGCATTTCCTCTTTAACATATAGTAGCTATACTAATGACATTTGAAATTCATTTCTTTCTTCTAGAAACCCCTATGTTACTTTATTTGATACACTCATGTAATACTTACTATATTACCGTTACTTGATGGTTTTTCTGTTTTGTTTCAAAAAACGTGTCTTGGGTACTAAACCTTGAAGAATTCATACTTTGGCAGTCCATATGTATATATATATGACCTTTGACATGCAGCTCTTATTTTTTCCAAGTATTTGTTTTATTTTCTTTGATTCAATTGGTGGTAGGTTTTTCTGTGAATTGATGAAAGCAGAAGTATCATTTAGGTCTTCGTTCACAAGTAATACTAAACATTTTTTTGTTGGATTTTAAAAAATTTCTGATTCAGTCATTGATCTTGGACATATTTTGATATTTTAAAGTTGGAATATAATCTGTTCCTACTCTGTAGCTTTTGGATATAGGCTTTCTCCTCTCTAATGAATCAAGGACTTATTTGTTATCCTTTCTAGAACTATTAAGAATCTTGATTTCTTTCACTTTTGGCAATAATTGTCTCCACATTTACTTTATAGAGTCCTCTTTGGTGGAGTCCACAGGAGGAGAGGAAGCACAGGATTCGTAAGATGGCGGGCGGGTGAGTGACTGAGAATTTGGGCTGAAACTTGGGAAGAAAAAGTGGTTAGTGGTTTCTCCTTAGTAGGAAAAATTTAAAGTATAAATTTTAGTATTGTATTGTCTTATTAAAACCTATAAAGACAATCTAAGGGTTTTAAATTTTTTTAAAGTTTTTCTTTTTTAATGTAAATTTTATTAATTTATATGGCATAGCTGTTATGCCATCTGCTTATGATTTTTATCAAACTTCACAAGTGACTCAGAATACAGTTGACAGTTTTGAGAAACAGAACAAATAGTTTATCCTATAGTACATCTTTTCCTTGATGATTAAATTGCATCGTTAAATTGCAGTTTGGAGCTTTGTTTTGTTTTAATAACAAAACTTAAAATTAAGTAATAAATACTAAATTGTGATAAGCAGACAGATGTGCTTCTGGAGTTAAATAAATCAAACTTTAGAGAAATAAAATAAGAGAACTTCCAAGAGGATCAGGAAGATAATGTACAGAGCTGGAGCATATGACTTAGAGTTTGATCCACTGAATTGCATGACTCCCACAGCACCTTCAGGTCTATCCCTAGTTATTCTAGTACTGCAGACCTAAACATGGAATTGTCAGTCCTACACAGTTTGGCTAAGCATCACCAGGAGTGGTATGTGTCCCTGAACACTGATAGGGATCTCCCTCACATTTAAAATCTATAAGCAAGATAGTTTGTATTAGCATAAAATAAATGGCAAACATTTTGTGCAGAAGGAAAATTATCTGTGTTCCACCCAGATCAATTTTATATTATTTAAGCTCAAAGTCCTGATTTTAATATGACTAAAAGCTGGTCATAAGAGGAGTGGAACCTCTAAAAGTGGGAAGTTAAAAATCCCTGGGTCTGTATTTATGACAGTTACTATGCTTTTCAATCTAAAAATAACCTTGAGTAGGTGATGAATTCATAAGTTTTCTATGAGTATATGCTGTGGCATTTAGTTATATGAGGCTAATAGTAAGTAGTATTAGGAAGCAGAAAATGGTTTGTTTTTGGAACCCTTTTATTTTTATCTTATTTATTCATCCTTCACATTTAGTAGTCACCCTCCAAAAGTGTTTTCATTTTACACTATCAGTAAAGATTTCCAGGGACCCAGAATATGTCTCAATGTTCTACAAGTTTGGCTGCTTCTAAACTATGGGTTGTGATCCCAAATGGGGGTCATAGAACTTTAAACATTTTTTTGTTTTAATATAAATTTCTTTATGAATTATTGTCAGTAAATGATTTGTATACATTTTTAATATGAATATATGCCTGCTGTCATGCAAAAATGTCTTAAATGTCTTTTAAATGGTTTTAAAGTAGTAGTAGAAAAAGTTTAAGAAACTTCAGTTTAAAGCATTTCCTGTACAAGTGCCAGTCCCTAAGTTCAAATCCCAGTGACTTGTATATGCTGAGGCAGTTTTGGAAACTCTGTTATTATGGATCCCCAGTGAGATAGGACTTTAAAGATGACTCAGTGACTTAGGAAACACTTTAGGCAAAGCAAGTGTGAGGTCATGAGCTTAGATTCTGATAGTTCCTGGCAGAATGGGGTCCCCAACAAGTGAAAATATTTTTTATTTTAAAAGAGATTTTCTCTAAGAGCCTTGAGGATATATATTTGAAAGATGAATAGACATACTAAATGACAAGATTACTTTATATTGAATGGAGGCTTTGGAAAATCCAAACAGAATTTCCTTATGATAAACCTTTAAACATTTATATTTGTTAGAAATATTTTAGAAAATAGAGTTTTTTGGACTCTGAAATAAGTTATAATCTTTTGCCTGGTAGAAAGGGAGTTTACAGTGTTAAATTACAGTCCTATTATTTAATAGAGTCTTGGAATCTGTTCTGGGTTTTTTTTTTTATCTACACAGCAGTCATTTGATCCGGACAGTGAGCTTCACATTCTTATATACATTTTATAAAGGAAGAACTGAAAGTGGCATGAAGAAATAAAGGTCACAGTGGAGGCATATCTTAAAACAAGGAGGTCAAGCCTCCAAAGCTTTAACCTTTACCACTAGACTAGTATTTTCCAGTAACTTTTGTTTCTTTTGTTTTACCCGTACTTCTTTTTGGTGACTTATAATATGTTGCCCTCAAAAATTTCTTCATATGCTTCTATAGTGATGGTTCCAAACTCTTTGTGTATTACCAGATTAGACCAGGCTGCTTGTGATTGATTAGTTTCACTCAAACCTTTTATTCTGTTTTTGTCTGGGGTATAGAAATTCCAGAAATTATTAGACATTTAAAAATATTGAAAATATCCATTCAGCGAAGAGTTAATACAAACTGAAAACATGTTTTTTTTCCTGTTCTCAGTAAGATGATAGTTCATAATGGAAACAAATTATTTGTTACTAGAATATGATTACAATACTTGCGGTAATTGTTCAGAAGGAGTGGGGTTGCTGTAAATGACTGTTTAACTTGCTTTAAGCCATTAACTGCTTTAAGATTTATGGGATAGATTATAGTGTTGAAATAGTTGAAAGTGATTTATGGGGCCGGGGGGTAGTTTAGAGTATAGGGTGCTTTCCCTACATGTAGCTGACCCAGGTTCAATCCCATATGGTTCCCTGAGCTCCACCAGGGGTGATTCCTGAGCACAGAGCCAGGAGTAAGCCCTGAACACTGCCTGACATGGCGCACAAAACCAAAAAACAAGCAAACATACCATCTCACCCTCTAAAAAATAAATAAACAGAACCCAAAGCTTTAATATACTTTTGGTTACAAGGAAATTTATCCTCTTCTTATACAAAATATGTACTCAGCATTTGCATAGACATTAACATGAATGTAGTGCTAAGGTTGAATACTTCACTTTTTCTTTAATTTATGCATAATCATGTAAGTGTATTCTCCCCTTATTCCTGCATGCTTTACAATAGTCAGTAGTGAGTGTGCGATCACATTGGTGGGAAGTGGAGAGCAGTCACCGAGTCAAGATAAGTTCTTGTGCTAAAAATGAAAGTGAGGGCAGCTTGGAAAGAAACATTGTGTTTGCGGATTTATTATTTTTTGGTCCAGTTTAGTTTTTTGGTGAGTTATAAAGGATTTCCCAAAGATTAAGTATTCATATCCTTATATTTGTCTCTCATTTTATGTATTTGCTAGTTCTCACTGGCCCATTAATGAATGTTTAAGCAGTTTTGATTTATTGAAAAGTCTCATGATATTGAAAGAGCTCTACATCAAAAACGAGGGTAGAGGACAGGAGAGAAAGATCAGGGTTAATGTACTTGGACTTGCTTGACCATGGTTTAATTCTCAGCACTGCGCATGGTTCCCTAAGCACCATCAGGAGTAAGTCCTGAACACAGCTGGTTACGGTTCAACCCCTTCCCATCACCCCCTCCCTCTCAAATGAGTAGACTTCTGATTTTAGCTCTGCTTTTAATTTGTTTGCTGTTTTTGAGCAGGCGCCTTAGACCACCCGGCCGTTTGCCTTGCACGCAGCCAGTCCGGCTGAGCCAGGTTCGATTCCTCCGCCCCTTTCAGAGAGCCCGGCAAGCTACTGAGAGTATCTTGCCCACACAGCAAAGCCTGGCAAGCTACTTGTGATGTATTTAATGTTCCAAACACAGTAACAACAAGTCTCAAAAATGGAAACTTTACTGGGCCCGCTCGAGCAAATCTATGAACAATGGGAGGACATTGTTTGTTTGTATGTTTGCTGTTTTTGAGCTTTTTAACCTCTTAACCTTAGTTTCTTATTTTTTTAAATATAAAGAGGATAATGTTCTCTGAGATGTGCCAACTCTAAAAGTCCTTATCAGTTTATTATTGACATCGATATCTGTTCAATTACCAAATTTTTATTGAATGTTTCCTTTTTTTTAGGGAGGCAGACAAAGGATTTACTATGTTAGGGGCAGTCAAAGATTTACTCAGCATATGCAAGGCCCTGAGCTCCACCCATTGCCCTGCGTAGACCCCTGAACACCAACAGATCTGGCAATGATGACCCCCAGCACTATTGAATCTGAATTCTACAGTGCTGGAGCTGAACACTAGAGTCTTAGGCCTACACTGCTGGGAGTACTGCCAGGAATGGTGCCTGGACCTACCTTAAAAGAAAAAAGGCAAAAATGAACAAATAAGAGATAGTGGTACCAGAGATACAGTATAGTAGCTGAGGCACAATCCTTGTATACTGCTGACCCTGGCTTGACCCCTACCACTTCACTGTCCTTCAAGCAATGCCAGATGTGACACCTTGAAAGCCCCAAATACTTTAGGAATGCCCATATAATCTCTGGCAGTGTACCCCTTCCTTGCATTGTACCGCTGTCCTGGTTGGCACAGTGGTATAGAATAACAAGGAGGGTTCTCTGGATTTCCTGAGCACCACTTGAAAGACATCTGTATTCTCCAAAAAAAGACAAAAAATAAGAGTCAGAATTAAATAGAGGTATAAAGAAAATTGAAAGTCCAGAAATATGTATTTTATGTAAGTTATTTTTGATTTATCTTTGATCATTTGGTTTTCAACAACAATAAGAATATTCCATGGGGAAGAATAATTTCAACACGTTATTCTGATTTGATTTTCACATGTAAAATAATTTGGACCCTGGCTCCTATTATGTACAAATCATGAATCAAAGTGGATTAAAGAACTAAACTGTAGCACAAAACTGTAAAAATTTTAAAAGAAAATCACTAATTCTTTGTGACCATGGATTGGGCATTAGTTTTATAGTTTGACATCAAAAGTGTAAGCAAACAATGAAAAAATTAATGAAATGAATTTCAACAAAAATAATTTTTTTTTTTTAGTTTGGGGCCACACCAAAGTGCTTATTTTCTGTTCTGTGCTCAGAGGTCACTTCTGGTGTGTGTGGGACCATGTGTGATGCCAACATTCCGCCGGGATTGGCCAAATGCAAGGCAAGTTCTTTAATGCTTGTACTACATCTCTGGCCTCTCAAAGCTTTCCATACAGTGTCCAATTCAGGGACCAAG